GATCTCTATTCTCCAAAATCGAACGCTTCAACCGATTCTTCATTGCGTCGCCTGATACGTAGCGCCCCAAGGCGCACTTCTTTCCATGCCCCGCCTTTGGCTCCGCGCGACCTACCTTCGACTGTCCATAGAGTGTGGTTTTTGTAGTTTGTTTCTCTTCGGAAACTGAATCTTTGCGTGAAACTTTGTATGTTGTCTCTAGTGATCACAACTGACATATCTTGGGAAAGAATGCAAGAATTTTCCGGGAAGGATTCCTTCAAACGTACGAGTCGGGGTCGAGCTGATGCGTTATTTGTTTGGTAATTAGGCAAGGGTGCAATGAGGAACATTAGTGAGGAGAAAAAGCAAAAAGCACCATAGAAAACACTAAATTTCCCTTAGGAGGCCGGCCGTAGTACGACGGAGAGACACAGCGCTGCGAGGAGAGGGAGAACGCGAGATAGTACGTCGTACGAGAGGACGCAGAGACCACGTATGCCGTGGTTGATAACGCTGGCAGCACGAAGCAAGGCCTTAACGCCACTCACTTTTGAGTCGCGACACTCACGCGCGTCCTGCGCTTGGGACCCCTCTTTCTCACTCAAGGAAGGACTGGCTCTTGGGACCTAATCCCAACTCGTGGCTTTAAGTGGAACTTGATGACCCTTGAACGAGTCATAGCACCTTCCTTCCAAACCCTCGCTCCACCATAGGCCGATGTCAGACTTTGCGAATCGCGCGATTCGCTAGGTCGCGTTGCGGTACCAGCCAATTGAGTGATTCACTGGCCGCGACGCGACCGCAGACGCTAGCGAATCGCGCGATTCGCAAAGTCTGACATCGGCCATAAAGTGCGTCGCATCAAGAGCGTTGTCCGCCACAATGACGCCACATGGTCCAAGCGTTTCCGTAAGTAGAGTGGAGCTAGCCATAGAGCAAAAGATGCGTCTTCTGCCTCTATGACTAGCTCCAACTTTTTCAGGCCGCGAGAATTTGTGGGAAAGTGACTAGCTCTATTTTCCCACACATTCTCGCGGCCTGCGAGTACAAGATGAGAACATTGATAGCTTTCGACTGTGCCAGCTCCTCAACTAGCTTCCTCGTCCCCGAGTCTGTTCGCTCCCTTTGGATCTTAGAATCTCTCAACTGCATCGCGCGCCGCGCTTGGACCGTGGCGAAAAAGCTGTGCGAAAATCAATAAATTACTGTCCATGTATTTATGCAATACAGCGCGAACTGAGTCCTTGGATGTAAACAATGACTATTATAAATGTTTATGGTAACATCGATAGAAATGTATCAGTTCTGCCGGCATTATCGCATACGAGAGAATGCTTACACCGTTTCACAGAGAACACCAGTATTCAAACTATTGATCAGTCATAAATGACACATATATAGCATATAATAAAAATGAATTATACACAGATTAGCTTACAAATAGAGCGATATGAACGGGGGGGGGGACGATAAAAATTCTCCGAAATTAGCCGAAATATCTAAACGAAAATGAACTGCTGCTCGATGATTTCTAAGGCCGATGTCAGACTTTGCGAATCGAGCGATTCGTTAGCGTCCGCAGCCAATATAGCGATTCGCTGGCCGCGACGCGACCGCGCGCGCTAGTCGAATCGCTCGCTCCGCAAAGTCTAACATTGGCCTAATACAGATATATGGACCTCTTTTCTAATGTTGCCCATGTTGATACGGCTCTGTGAAAACCCGAAAAGTGAACTGAATAAGGTTATTGTTACCATTTTGTCTATTTGAAGAAAAAATGGCAGGAAAATAGGAATAACAGAAGAATGACTAGACGCACACAAACAGACACCTTTGTCCGGGTCAGTAAGAAATGAGCATGATGACCGGACATGGTTAAGAGAATGATCACATCTCAATGGATGAGAATATGGAAGACATCGCAAAGAGCACCACCACTGCCACCACCACTTTCTGCCAGCCGCCAGCCTAACTGTCGAGTTCGAGTTGATGCCACGATTCGAACGTCTGGCCAGGATTCTCGATACAGCTGCTCCACTGCTTGCCTCGTTCGTCCTTGGCTGCTGTCGACAAGACAATTCCTCCTTGAAAGGTTAGAGTTGAAGTTTAACCCAGGTAAAGATTACCATGGTACTCCTACCGATATAGTCGTCATGTTTCCCAAGGTCATGGTCGTAAACACCGATCTGTAGAGTTTTCTTAGGCAAGTCCTTGAAGGGAACGATGAACGTGATTGTCTGAAAGAAGGGTGAGATAAGCAGCAATCAGACGAAAGGTCAGGTCGCGGAAATACCTCGTTGAATTCCGGATTGAGGGTCCTCTTCTTGATCGAGGTTCGCTGTCGATGGGCTTTAGAAGTGACAGGTGTAAGCGAACTAAAGAACTAAACTGAAAGAAACGAATTTCAACTAGATTTTCGAATTGAAGACATAAAAACAAGACATACCAATACGTCCTACAGTCTACATATCTACATTAGGCGCTATCGCAAGATAGGGGGCATCCTCTTGGCCTACGCCTAGGGGATATAGGAACTTTGAAGGAACTGGAAATCGCTCACGCATCGTGGATTATCTCTTCTCCCTCCTAAGCTTAGTCCTGTTTTTAACAGGAGATGCTTCACGTGATTTCCAATGTGCTGCCAAAACAAAACGCCCCCGTAGACTTGTGATAAGCGCCCTCCATTAATTAGCTATTATCAACCATATAAAGTTCCATCTAAAACTTGGCAGTGTATGTCACGGCGATGTACTTGGCACAGCGGCGCAAATCGAGTGCGTGGCTGGCACCAAAAAGCGAAATCTATGCGGGTAATTTCATTTACCTTAGCTGGTAACTGTCGCTCTACATTTGTCATTGAATCTCATCTCTCTCGTTTTTTCGAAATTTCTTTCTTTTTCTCGTCTCTTTTATCATGGTCCGCCCTTCCATGGGTATAGGTCAGGAGGCTCAAGTTGTGATGACACGAGCCTAGCGGCACTACAAGTAAGGCACACTCATCCGGGCCTTAACAACGTTTGGCCATAGCGCAGTCGCGTGTTCGGAGACTCAGTTCCTGCTCGACGCCGCAATGTGGACCTCTTGACCTAGACCAAGCCCTGCTCAATTAAAAGGACTGATTAATGGGCCGTCAAGATTATGGAGTTCCTCAGTGTGCTCTTTTTGAGAGTGATATTTCCCGGAATCGAGCAGACCCGCTGCGCCTACAGAGCATATCTTCAAGGATTTTTTTTATCAAATATAATGATCATCAAAAAGGCTCAAACTTACACTTTACAGTAAGGGTCCGAGAATCCTGTGGAATCCATCCCTACCAATTCTGCGCATCGTTTAATAGTCACGAATAACGAGCCTGAAAAATTGACACTTGGGTAAACGAATTAGCGAAAGATGTTTTGAAGGAGCTTAAACAAATTGGACGTCCTTCCATTTCTTTTTCTCTCCTCTCCTTTTCTCTTTTTCTTTTCTGGTTCATTTTTCTCAATTTTATAATAATTTTATAGGAAAAGGAAGAACCAACCTTGCTGAATATTGTACTGTAGCGCAAGGAGGATTTTTCCGCGTATCGCTTCGTTTTCTTGACGAGGTTGCTGAATCTGAAGTTTCATTCATAGGTATCGATTATTATCGATACCATTATCAAAAAACTATTCATAAATCTTGTTAATATTTTATTTAAATGTTTGAATCTTCTTATTTGTGAGGTGCACTGAAAAAACAAAGAATAAAATAGAAAAAATAAAGAATTAAGTAAATAAACAAATAAATAAACAAATACAAATCACCAAATGTAAAAAAAAGATTTTCAGGAATTTTCTTTACCACTGATTGCATATATAACAGCTGTTATTGTTTTATATTTGTTATTTTATCATTTTATCAATCGATAAACCCTACCTTGATGTGTATTGATGTGTTTACTTTTTAGTTTATCTTATTGTTTTGTTTTTATACTGTTTCTATTCTCCATTTTTATTTTCCTATTTTATTTTTTATTTTTTATAGTTTTTTCAATTTGAAATAATCAAAAAACAGCAGCACGAGATAAAACATACCGGAATGGCGTGCTCGAGATATAGATTAAACTTCTTCAGCGTGTTCACCGGCAGTTTCCTCAAGGCAATTCGAGTCTCACCAAGAAAATCCGAACCAATACGATCACGATCCAATACGGTAATTCGCCTGCAATATTTACCCTTTTTACAGTAATCCAATCAGGAACAACGTAGATTTGATATTACAGTGTCTTTTTCTGTTTGTCAGCCTCAGTAATTCCATAATAGTGAAGTTCCTCGTTCCATTCAGGGTTCAGCGTTTTTTCTATCGTTCTTGACGTCAATTTTGTTGCTTTCGCGTTGCCTGGTAACAGATGTAACTTGACGTACGGATCCGAGAAGCCGTTGCTGTCCATCGCTTTCAGATTCTATAAATGGAAAATGATGATCTCCTCGAAAAATTAGATATAATGTATGCTATACGAAAGATTCAATTTCCGGTCATGTCACTTCACCGCTTGCATTTGAACACCCCAGTGCTGTTGAATAAGGAAGCTGGACTCCATGAAGGTCTATCGGTGAAGAAAAAAACCAAAAAAAATCCACCGGGAAAACCCGAAAAAGGTCTTTCGTTTTGCATTTCACGAGCTCATGAGAGAAAAGATAGCACTAGGACGAGGAACCAGACGACGAAGTGGCGAGAGAATGTAGAGGCAAGTGAGTGACGAAAGACATTCAGGCGTGAAGTGTCATTGCCTCATTCCAAAGCAGCGCCCACTTTCAGAAAGCCTGGACCCCAAACACAAATACGTTCGCCGGATATATCACTCCTTTCGAAATCGCCGCGACATCGCAACAAACCCTGCGATTGTGGAAGGGTCTACAGTATCTACAGAGAAACTTATTTTTTTTTAAATAATTTGCATATAAAGTGCTCTTGAGGTATGCCCACGAATTGCATGAGTTATTTAAGTACAAAGGCCGAGATTGCGCCATGCATTACGCATTTTGTGTGCACTCGCCACTCAGTGGTGACTAGCTATCAAAAGTAGGACCATGGTGGGAAGGAGTTGTCTACTATAAAACTGATTCAGCTAAAGCACTGCAGATGGCGCTTCAGCATTTGTGATTGAATTGGCATACCTCGTGCTATCCATGACTAGGAAAACCACTCCATAAAAGATTGTAATATATATTCCGCAGCGGGCAGCCGCAACAACGCAGTGGGGTTGGTGCATCTGGAACTGATAAGATGCCATTGCTACTTGCGAAGCGTTCTATTGGCGCGTCCACAGTGGCTGGATGTCTGGGTCTCGCTCGTCCCCACGCTCTCTCGCCTGCCATGTCTCTGATTGACCTCTCGTCCTAGCAACTGACAAGAAAGCAGGTTTCTGATCATGGCATTTTCGACTTTTCTTGCCTTTTTTTCTCATAGCAGGTAGTTTCCGTGCAGTTGGACAAAAAACCATAATGCTGGTGATATGAAATATTATTTTGGATAGTTTCACTCACCTTTGCTCTGATCAAATGCACAGTGAGCTTCTTCTCCTCTTGATTGTATAGCACCGTGAACTGTATCGATCCAAGGGTACCTGAATAGAGTGCCCCTGAGAATAAGGTGTGTTGTGAATAAAACTGTGAGAAGACAGCGAAAGGAGAAGTGGAAATTATTCATTATTGGATAGTTGGTGCAGTTAAACATGCGGGCACCGAATCATTGGAAATTCATCCCAAAATGTCAGAGATGATCATGCTTTTCACATTTTTACACAACAATCACAACAATCATGCAAAAGAGTCTCACTTCACTTTCGACTACCGTTGACTTCGAGAAGTTTCGATTTTGTATGTGAAATTGAAACTGAAGCCTACGGTAAGGAGTCGGAAGGAAGCACGACAGTAATGAAGAAGGCATGCGTCGTCGAATTGCCGAACCGGGTCGCGGAGCCGTGATGGACACTGCAGAGCTGTCATCTGGAGAGTTGTGCGTGGTCGTCGCCGGTGGTGTACTTTCATCGACAAGCGATTCCTCCGTGGTCGCGGGTGTCGTCGCCAGCGACGACGTTGGCGGTTTTGGCGACGAGTTGAAGCGCGTGATAATGGCACGGCGACGCGTGCGTGACTCTGAACAGACGACGTTGGCCGGCCGCATCGAGGCGAACCGTGGTAACGAATGGCCTGCGGATTCGTAGAGTTTAAAACGGAGTACAATGAAAAAGAAATCAAAAACATTACAGAAGCAAGCGGAAACGACAAAAAGCTGACGCGGGGCGGATATGATGATAGGAGTGTGGTTGGGTTGGTGAGTGAGAAGGGGTGTGAGAGGTTACGAAGATGCATGAAGCATGCTGGCTGGATTTAGGCGTTCAATCCACAGCCCAGTTGGCTTTACTCTTTGATCAGATCCCCTTAGCTCTTACACACGGGTGTGAGAGTTTAGAGCACCCAGCCCGTCGCGCGGCAAGAAGGTAGAAACACAACAGGACAGCGACCGAGTACTACCCGTACTATGATGATTTCGCGTCATGTCAAGTAGAATGTTCTAAATGAGTGCACCATTCATCGCACAGCACGCGCTGCGACTCGTCCTCTGACCCGTCTGCGTCTCTGCCTTCTAGCCGCGCGGCGGGCTTTCGGTGGGGTACCCGAAAGCTGAAATTCACTCGGAAACCGTCGCGACATTGACCGCGCGGTACGTGGTATCACTAGCCACCCAATT